GCATGCTCGTTGGGTCACCCTTCTGACACGATCCGGACGATCTTGGCTCCAACAGTCCTGGCTTCGGACTTTCATCCACTGCTCTTTGGATTTGCGAGCGGGATGTAGGAGAGGGTTCAGTTTGTTTTCTTCCTCCCTTCCTCAGTTTGTTTTCTTCCTCCCTTCCTCCCTCGAAGGAGAATATTTTAATTCAGAACAATTAATTTGGAATTAAAAAAACATCATGTAAACGTAGCCATTGTGTTCCACTTTGTGACGTCATGTGGTAATACAGGAAACGCTCCACTGTGTTTTTAAACTCCATACACCTTCACTAGAATCATTTGATTAATTTCAGCTGGAATTGTCAATCTCTACTGAACAAAATGTAAAAGGTAGATGTTAATTTGAAACCTACCACTTGATGTCATCACAAATTGGAATATTTTGAGCTTTGGGGATGTAAACAGACTAATAATAAATGGTAACTCAAACATGTGTGAATGAAACAAAACACAACTCCAGGTCTGTTTTTGAGGGGGTAACAACATTATAACATGCTTAAAGCTTACAAGAATCCATTTTGTGTAATATTGGACGTTTAATGTTTGTGGTCTTCTTGTGTTTATTACTAGTCAGAACTTGTCCACGGCTTAGTTTCATTTTAGACCTTGTTTAACCCTGATGTAGACCTGATATAGGCTTGGTTTGGATATGATGATACTCGGAATACCAAACATAATATTGAATGGTGTGAAAAGTTTGTCAGTCCTTTTGTTAGATCAGTCCAGAAAATGTACATGGGTGTTGTTTTGAAGCTAAACTCCGACCTACTGTTGACCTCTGCGTAGCGTAATTACTGACAGTGGCTAAAAACAAGCTGTTGTCTTGTCATGATCATCTCCAGAAAAGGCCTTGGGCTAATCAGCTTATCCTGTCTGTCTCCCAGGGCAGGTGACCCAAGACACGCTTTGACAGTTGGTGGAGGTCGGACACTTAGGCTCCAAAACAAATACAACTGGACTAATTAGCTTTATACAACACCTACACACATTTTTTTACGCACTGCTTAAATCCACAATGTAATCCTCTGAGTAACGGATTTTAACCCCTTCTATATTTGGTTGCATGTTATTACTCTACAGGCTGACTGTGTATCATAGCAATCATTTTCTACTTTTTGTTGAATGACAATTCTTTTATTATATATTATACATATGATATTGAACAGTTTTGACTGAATTTAGACATCTTTTATCTTCAAAATATTTGCATGTTTTTGATGTGTTTTGATTTTGAGGTCGCCTTTTTTAATCAGCTAATTGGGGGGATTATTTAAGTGGGGGAACGAGATTTGTGACATCATTGATGTGACCCCTCCCTCCTCTGAAATGATGCAGAATCATGTTATTAACATTAACACCATTCATAATCACCTACAAAACATAAATCACAGACTACAACACATGAACCATGACTGAACCAGATCTAAACCAGGACTGAACCAGGACTAAACCAGATCTAAACCAGGACTGAACCAGGACTAAACCAAGTCTAAACCAGAACTGAACCAGGACTAAACTAGGACAGAACCAGGACTAATACAGGACTAAACCAGGTCTAAACCAGGACTGAACCAGGACTAAACCAGATCTAAACCAGTTCTAAACCAGGACTAAACCAGACCTAAACCAGGACTAAACCAGATCTAAACCAGGTCTAAACCAGGACTGAACCAGAAATAAAACCAGGACTAATCTTGGACTTGAGAGCGAGACAGAGAACCCTGAGCTTGGGGAGCCAGGTGTCCACACAGCGCGATCGGGTTAGCCCCATGGGGCCAAGCGCGGTCCTTTCGCATGCGGTCACCCGCCGGTCTACGCAGGTGCACCTCTGGGCCCGTCCCAACACTCAGTCCTGGTTTAGTCCTGGTTTAGTCCTGGTCCCTCATGTTGCAGGTCTCTATAGGACAGTACTGCAGATATCATGAGCCAGGCTGTTTTCACCATTGCCAATAGCTCCAGTTTGACTTTTAAGTTGTGGCTATTTTATATTTGTTTTTGTTTTTTTATCTCACGGTGGGAGAATTGGGTGAGCAGCATACCTCCACATGCCACGCCCACTACATGTGTTGATCACGTACCCTTAAACTAAAAGATTCACAGTTTTATTTAAGTTATGATACCAACAAAGCCAACTATTATCTATTACACTTATAGTTTAAAGTCAGTGCACTTTATATTGTACCCTCAAGTATGTAAACAGTGGCTACATTTACATAGCCAGAAAAAATCGTATAATCATATAATTTGATCATCCAATCATCCCAGTGTCATGTCTCAGTTAAACTATTTTTATTTATTTATTTATTTATTTTTTGGTAACTATTGTATTTGAAAGACCTACGATGAATTTTAAAATAATCTTCCTAACCTCAGTATTTTCCTCTTTCATTAGTTTGGCTTTTTGCTGAATTCTAATCAGTCAGAAATCAGATTATTCGGATGATAAACCTGTTTACGTGACATTTCAATAATCCGATAACTCTAAAAATCAGATAACGATCATGTTTTTGGTGTGTATGTAAACATAGCCAGTGTCTCGTCTGCACCTATGTTTAGAACAGTATCATTTAAGGAAGCAGAATAAATCAGATTAGGATTTATTCTGAGACAGCGTTGCTTGTGTTTAGTCATGGCACTAATTTAAGTGTGCTGCCTCTAACATTCATGTGGAAATGACTTTGCGACGCAGACCATGGACTGTCAGGATGATTCAGCAGTGCCCCCCTCCCAAGGCCCTGTTCCCCCTCTGCCCCTCTCTCCCCTCGCCCACATGCCTCCCTCTCCAGCAGAACCCCCCGCTTCTCACTGCACAGACCGGCTCCCATCTTTCCGGGGTGCTATTGCAAACTTAGTCCCACGTGGATTTTAGCACGAGGCCCAGAAAAAGAGAGAGACAGAGTAAGGAGGAGAAAGCGGGGGAGTGACAGCGAAGGGTGAGAGAAAGACCAAAAGAGACAGAGAGGGCGGAGAGGGTGAGACGGAGAGATAGTGAAGGGGGAGATAGAGGGAGAGAGAGACATTGAGAGAGAGGGGCAGTCAGGGGGAATGAGGGGAGAAAGCAAGAAGGGACGGAGAGAGATAGCGAGGGGGCAAGAGAGAGAGACGGAGAGAGGAAGGGACAGTGAGGGGGAGGCAAAGAGTCAGGAAGGGGGAAAGAGACAGCGAGGAGGTAGAGAGAAATAATGATGTAGGCGAGAGGAGAAGATAGAGGGAGAGAAAAGGGGGAGAGACAGAGATGGGAGGGAGAGAGGGGGGAAGAGATGTGGGGAAAGCAAGAAGGTAGAGAGAGAGAGGGACAGTGAGGGGGAAGGAGAGAGAGGGAGACAGCAAGGGGGAGAGAAAGAGACAGAAAAGGGGAAAGAGAGACAGCGAGGAGGTAGTGAGAGATAGTGATGGAGGCAAGAGAAGGACACAGAGGAAGAGAAAAACAGTGAGGGGGAGAGACAGAGAAGGGAGGGAGAGAGAGAAAGTGAGGGGGAGAGAGGGGAGAGAGATGGGGGGCAAGAAGGGAGAGAGAGAGAGATAGCGAGGGCGCAAGAGAGGGAGACAGACAGAGAAAGAGGGACAGTGAGGTGGAGGGAGAGATAGTGATGGAAGCGAGAGAAGGAGATAGAGGGAGAGAAAAGGGGGGAGACAGAGATGGGAGAGAGAGAGTGACAGTGAGGGGGAGGGAGGGGGAAGAGATGAGGGGAAGCAAGAAGGGAGAGAGAGAGATCACAAGGGGGCAAGAGGGGGAGGGAAAGAGACAGGAAAGGGGAAAGAGAGAAACAGCGAGGAGGAAGAGAGAGATAGTGATGGAGGCGAAAGAAGGAGACAGGGAGAAAGAAAAAGAGAAAGAGCGAGACAGTGAGCGGGTAGAGAGAAAGTAAGAGACAGAAAGAGAGACCGCGAGGTGAGAGAGAGAGGTAGAGAGAAAGATGGGGGGGAGAGAGAGCGGGTGCTTGAACTCCTGGCATGGCGAGCTTGCCCTGAAAAGGCCACATGCCTCCCTGCGCAATTATGCACTGTGCATAGAAACAGCTCTCCCCCACCCCTCACACACACACACACACGCAGTTACACATACACACATACGCACAATGCTTTGACCAACTAAAAATGGAAGACGGGTGATTGCTGAACAAGGCCAAAGATCAGCAGATTGCTCACATTATTGGCTTAATGTAGGATGACGTGAGACCGGGGCGTTTTGACGTGAAAATGCCTTGTTTTCTAATTGACTTTGTGGAACAGTGAATTAGCGATGAGTTATGGACATGCCCAAGGAGGGTGCAACAACCAGAATAGAACATGAGTGGATGTAAACTAGTTTTATGTGTTATAGCATATGGTCCGATATGGATTTTGTGAGCCAGTTCTGATGCCGAAAATTGACAAGGCCCAGAAATGTATCGTAAAATGAAGTTAAGATCACAAATTAACTTTTCACATTTGCAAAAAATTATAGTTAGTCACTGTGGAGTCATTTAAAACAAATGTAAAGGCCTGTATACTCACTTGCCCTTTTTGCTGACCTGTTTATTTTTATTAGTATGAATATTTTAATCTGTAAAGCACCTTGTGAGCTGATCTCTGTGACAGGCGCTCTATAAATAAATGTTACTTACTTGTGTAAACATATTGACCATTTTTAGCCTGAATGAATGTGTGTGTGAATGGATGAGTGATTCCATGATGTAAAGCGCTTTGATTGCCTTGAAGGTGGAAAAGCGCTGTATAAAAATGTGACCATTTACCATTTACCACGCACTGGGAATGTCATATGGCCACACTGGCTGCAAAAATATTGGATGATATTTTTAAGTATCACATTTCACGCTGATATCTGTGAAAACCTGGCAAACCTCCAGTACTGACATTGAAACTTATATACTGTCCATTCCTATTATAGAATGATATTTTTCAAAGTCAGAAACGTCATAATAATGAGAATTTCCTTTTCCTTTGTCTTTGCAGGCTACTTCAACGTGTTAGCGGTGGTTCTACGATCAAACAACGAATCCCCCTGGACCGATGAGTTCAACAGTAAGTGCTAATAACCAAATGGCCTTACATTTTAAATGTCAGCTCCCTCTGTGCACGCTCCTGACCTGACTCCAAACATGCCTGCTTACATCCACACAGAACTAATCTCTCTCTTCTTTGTCCTGCAGAAATCGAATTATCTTGTTTGATTGAGTCCATTTCGACGCTAAACCCCAGGATAGAATGGAAGAAGATCAAGAATGAAGGGCCTAGTTATGTGTATTTTGACAAGAAGGTGTCTGGTAAGGCAAATTCATATTATATAATCATTTATATTTCAACAGTGGTGATAAAAGCGCTTGATTTTGATACTGAAAGGTGCACTGTGTAACATTTCTAGTGGGAGAAGTCATCTACAATTGAGTATAGAGTTTGTAATGACACATGTACGCTCGTCTTGCAGGTGATTTGGAGAACAGAGCAGTTATCCGAGAACCAGCCACATTAGTGATCACCAACGCAACCAGGTCAGACACGGCCAAATACAGGTGTGAAGTGACCGCCCCTGATGACCAGAAGTCCTTTGATGAGATTGTGATTGACCTGACTGTAAGAGGTAAGATACAGCCTTGGTTGGCCCCAAAATATTCTGTGTATACGTGAGGTTTTACAGTGACATAAAAAATGAAAACTTCTGTATAACTCAAAAAGCAGATTATTGCTGTCATGAAAATAGTAGTAAATAGTAAATGAATTGGGTAAAATGATGTCAGAATAGATGGACTTACTGTATTATCACATTTTAAGATAAAACAAAATACAGTGTTGTTGGTAGCTCACACAAGTTGACCTGAAGATAACTAAGCATTAGGGATGTAACAATAACCAAAATATTGTGATATCGTATCTTCAGAGTTCTCACAATAATATCGTGGACCATCACAATATATATCGAATTACAAGACTCTTTGCTTAAATTAAGAGTTATGGTACAGCAAGAGCTAAAAAAGTCAGACAACTACATAGACCATGATCCTTTGCTCAATTTCAGTGTAGACTACAAGAAGAAATAACAGTTCTAAGCACTTTTAAGTCTTAGTTCTTTGGATTAAGTCTTGCCTCCACAAAATATTGCAATAAATATCGTACCGTGAGATGTATTTACATGAAAATATCGTACAGAGAGATTTGGATATTATTACATCCCCAGTTGTGAGCCTCCTCCCCATATCGTGAGCTTTCCCATGATATCACAATAAATATTGTACCGTGAGGTTCATACCTTGACGATATCATATCGTGAGACTTGGATATCGTTACACCCCCCTTAAATATATTTTTATGGCACTCATTTCTTGAGGAGATTTGAGATAACCACTTCTTCTTAAGGAAATGCTCTCTTGTTTCAGAGTGCTATAGCAACTAACAAAACAACATATCCTTATAAAGTCTTATTTTCAATTTTAGTATCATTCATATTTTTTCCTCTTTATTATTCTATATTAATGTGTGAGCTAGTGTATCCAAGTCATTTCCCTTGTGAATCAATAGTTTGTGTTAGTCTAACTCTAATAACTTTGAATGGGCATCATTAAAATATCACCTATAAACAGGAAGCTGACACCATGAATGTGCCCAGATGAAACTCTTGCTCAGTGATTCGTGGGATGCTGTAAGATGAAACCGTGTTGTAGGTCACTGCCACCTTGTGGCGTACTGAACATATGAGGATGCGTCGAGCTCAGACCTACCCAGCTGCAAAGGCGTGTTCATGACTAAAAGAGGAGCGCTCCAAAACTGCATCTCTGCGATTGCCATGCTAAAGAAAGATCACCGCGTGTTATGGTCTCTGGCACCGGCCGAAAAACATGTACCCGTCTAACCATAACTGTCGGTCCAGCCGAACAGAAAGGGTCAGGCTGACATTGTTACATGAGAGTGTCATTAGCCCAGCAGCATTATGACGCTAGTGTTTCCCAGTGACTGTATGGGCCTCACAGAGACATTCGCATATTAACTCATGTTGTTTTTGCTCTTCACAGTGAAACCGGTCACACCCAAATGCAGCGTCCCAAAATCAGTGCCCGTTGGAAAATCGGCCGAGCTGAGCTGTGTGGAAGAAGAAGGATTCCCCAAGTCTCAGTACCAATGGTTCAAAAACAAAGAGGAGATCCCAGACGACCCCAAAGCCAGCCTCAAGTTCTTCAACTCCTCGTACACGCTCAACACAGACACAGGAACGCTGGTCAGTAACATGTGCTGGAGGAAGTATGGGGGGGGGGGTAGGGGGTGGAGCGGATGGGGTCTGGCGCCCAGGGGTGGGACAGATATTTTGGGGAGACAGATGATGGTGCGAGATGGCTTAAGCCCACAAGGGGAATATGCTGCTCCCGTTGGCACATTCCTCAATTCCACGCATGAGTCCATCTCCTCTGTGCCTTCAATAGTCTTAAAGGTCCTATGGTCCTTATGTTAGGCAAAATTGTGTTTTGTTTCATTCACATATGTTTGAGTAATTCTTTGTTATTAGTCAGTCTACATCACCAAAATGCTTTGTTCCACCTCGTAATGTCATGAAGCGGTAGTTTTTAAGTTAACATCTACCTTTACCTTTTGTTCAGTAGAGATTGACAATTCCAGGGCAGAAATTATCCAAGTGATTCTAGTTAAGGTGTTTACAGTTTAAAAACACATTGGAGCAGTTCCTGTATTATGACATGACATAGTGTTTTCAGTCTGAGAGAAGAACTCAGCCTAAATAAGAAAGGTTTGTGTGTGAATGAAACATAACACAACTCCAGGTATGTGTTTGTGACATGGAAACAGCATTATAACAGAGCTCAGAAAATACCGTGATATGGGCCCTTTAAATGTACAGTACTTAATTTTATGGCCTAAAATATTACACATGTCAAACCATCACACACTTTGTATTTGTCAGAGGTACAAATGGTTCAGATTTGGAGTTCAGAAAACAATGTAGATCTGATATAATAACTCAAGAATGTTCTTTCTCCTCCACTCATCTCCTCAGGTTATTTTTAGGCGTTCCACAAAAAACAGTTAACACTCATCTCGGTCGCTCCCATGAGGGAAGACGATGCCCACAGCCACAGTCCACTGGAATGTGGCAAATTCATTTAATTAATTTGCTTCATTTGAGTTTTTTTAAACAATCAAACATATTGCATTGGGTGATGATCATTTAACACAAGTCAAGACTGTTTTGTAACATACCAAAACATTCTTATTGTTTCTTCAGTGTTGTATATACAATATGTAAAATAATATATGAAAAAAAATTGTTGATTCTTTAACATGTTTGGTTAAAAGTTAAGTATTACATAGATATTTTGTGTTTTCTTAATAAGCCTTAATAAAGCATGAACAAAGTTTATCATAGAGCCCATATTACGCTATTTTCTGATCTGTTATAATGTTGTTTCCTCATTAAAAACATATCTGGAGTTGTGTTTTGTTTCATTCATATATGGTTAACACACAAATGCATATTGAGGCTCTTCATAACTCACCTTGGAATTTCCGATCTCTACAAAACAAAATGTATAAAGTAGCTGGTAGAACAGAGCATTTAGAGGTTTGGAGATGTAGACAGGCTAATAATAAAGGTTTACTCAACATTATAACAGGGTTGAAAGCTCACAAGAGTTAGTTTTGTGTACCATAGGACCTTTAAGTAATGATTCAGGCTTAGTAACTACTTAATTAAGGGGCTAGAGGTACATAAGTAGTTATTATAAACCGTTACTGGATTTGTGCTAATTAAATTTGATCTCTACTAATAAATGTGTCCATGTTTCTATGCAGAATTTTCTTACGGTGAGAAAAGAAGACGCAGGTGAATACTCCTGCAGAGCGAAGAATGATGCAGGTTATGAAGAGTGTCCAGCTCAAACAATGGAAGTCTGTAAGTACCTTTAAACTAGACTCAAACTGCAGTATATTCGATTAGTTTGAACTGAAAAACTGAGTCCGTGTTTGTTTTTCTGTTCCCTGGGTTCAGATGACATTGATATTTTGGGAATAATCTTGGGCGTGTTGGTGGTAGTGGTGGTGCTTCTGTGTATAACAGTAGGAATCTGCTGTGCGTACAAAAAAGGCTATTTCTCTGGACAGAAACAAGCAGGAAACAAGTAAGAGTTTGTTTTATATTCCTCCTCCTATACTCCTCCAAGTTTTATATTATATTTCTAAACTTTTCTACTAACTTTTTACAAACTTGACTTAACATTATGATTGTGATTTTCTTTTTTTGTATCACTCAGTTACAAAGTTCCATCAAAAGGAGACGGAGTGGACTATGTCAGGACAGATGATGAGGTATTGTAATATGTATATATATTTTTTTTCATTCTAATAAAAAAAAAATCTTTGGTAGAGGTGGGCAGAAAATAATTAATTAATAAAAAATAATTAATAAAAAACGATTAATAAAAAATTATGTCAAGTACTAGTATATTCAGAAATATTCTAGAAAATTCAGCAAAAAGTTCATTCATTTTCAGCTTTGGAGATGTAGATAGATTAATAGTAAAGGTGTGAAAAAATGTGTGTCAAAAAAGTATGGTATCTTTAACACATTTCTTTTAGATTGACATAACATTGTTCCACTGAGCACAATTAACCATTCAAAAGATATAATATTTTATTTTTAATTAAACAACAGCAGCAGTAACTTCTCCTTAATGCATAATGCATGGCTGTTTGAGTTACAGCAGCTATCTTGAAATCTTATTCTGTGATTTGTTTTGTCTTTACAGGGAGATTTCCGACACAAATCCTCGTTTGTGATCTGAAAAGTCTGAGATCTGAATTCGACTATGTGCTGAGTTAGAGACATGAGTATACAGTGGAAGGAGCCAGTACACTTCATGCTCACGGCACCACGGAAACTACTACAACTACTCAAGTTTGCCAAAGGTGACCACAGTTAATCCAGATTTCACGGGACAAAGTCAAGAAGCAAATATGGACTTTTATTTGTTATCATTTTAAGTTAAAAGTGTTTTTTTCTTTGCATGGTTTTCAATGATTCTACAATATTCTGCCAAGTTTGAAAAAGGACAACTCAACCTATCATTTCTACCTTCGCCGTTTGTATAACATTTCTTTTCTACTGTTGAAAATTTGTCAGACTATTTTTGATGGAATATATTTTAAAATGCCTATAGATAAAGGTTTACTTTTTTAAATATTTGTAAATTACTAACATGTGTTTTTCTTTTTTTTTATTTTGGTTGTGGGTAAAAAAATGTATTACACTTTAACCACTTTGGTGAGAATTTACACCTTTGCAATGGATTGAAAGAAAGGGTTTGACAAATGAAATCGGACTTGTATTAGCATATCAAGAGATTCTTGATGGGTGGTCTTACATTGAGTATTAGATATAATTTCTCAGCTGGGCGGGAGATGCCCAGTGTTATTGATACTTTGCAATGACATCAGGCTGGGGGGGCCTGTATGTATGTCTACAGAGGAATGTTCAGCAGTTACGATGGAGAGTCAAGGAACACATTAGCAAATACAGCCTGATAAGTTTTTAGATTGTTTGAGAACTCAAAAAAAAAAAAAAACCTTAAGATTTCATGGTCCCAGTTAGGTGTTTTCAACCAAAAAAAAAAAGTAAGAATATGGTAGACAGAGACATGCACACCCAACTAGAATTGCGACTGCGTGCTGCGTCCAAAGATAAAAATTGTGCAAAAGAAGAAAAATTTGTACTGCACCTCTTTGTAGCTCCCAAATTTTTATTTCAATGACACCACAATATGACATTTCAGGTCAAGCCCTCACGTTGTGCTGCCACTGAAATAAAAATTTGGGAGCTTCAAAGAACTTCAGTGCGGATCTATTTAGTTCTTTTGCACAATTTTTGTCTTTGGATCCAGCACGCAGTTGCAGTTTTTATTGGATGTGCATGTATCTCTACCATATTGTTACCTTTTCTTGTAGAAAGCACCTAATTGGGACCATGAAAACTTAAAAAGTTGGCAGTGACTAACTGAAAAACAGTTTTCTAATTATTTTTATTTAAGAGGGATTTATTTAACTGCACAAATCAGCTCACCCGTTCTTTATGGTCGAATTGAGAGCTCAGGTTAACTTGAGTCGTAGATCTTCAGACAGAGCAATTCCTCCAGTTAGCTTCACCTCCAGCATTGGTGACATCCGCTGCAAAGAATCAATAGTGAGTTAGACTTCCATGTCGATGTTTGTAGATAGTCTTAGTACCAGGCTTTGATGAGTGCCAGTCAAATGCTGTGAAACACTGTACACAAGAGTGCTGCGTTTTGATTTACGTAAGTGTCCTTCTATGCTTGCTGTTGATCTTGTATATATGAAGTTACTGTCCAGGATAACAGACAGTGTTGGGAAGAATACTAATACTCAATACTCAATACCTGCATTAAAATGTATTTTGTACCATATTTCCAATATTGGGCCATTCAGAGTACTGTATTCTGAATACTTTGAATATGTTCACATCATAGACTGTATAAAGAAGTGGACTGAGGGAGTGTGACATCACCCATAATGTTCAGCTCAAATGAAGCTTATGAGGCCAGCAGTTATAAGGGCGAATGTGCAACAGGCTCTAGTCACGCTTGTGTCACAAACCAAGAAGACGTTTGGAAAGATGCGCTGACAACTTCAGGTGTACCTACCCAAGTAAATGTCATCAGCGGTAAAATGAAAGTTGTGTATCAGTGGCTAAAACTGAGGGATGGTTATAATTATTGACTGGCCAAACATAACAGAATGCTACAGTGACATTTAGATAAAGAAAAGTGGGCCATTTTCAAATTTTTCATAGATTTTGCATGACTTACTACTGCAAAGTTGTTATCACATGTTTCCAAACGTCTTTCTGGTTTGTGACGTAAGTGTGTATAGAGCCTATTGGAGCCAGAGTCGATGGATCCGGAAACGCCCCCATGTTCACTTCCTATTTTAAACTCGGCGGCTAGTAGTTTAGCTTTGTCCATTTATGTTCACAGTCTATGTTTCACGGTGAGTTAAATTATATTATAGTGTAAAAAAAAACATGACTAGGATTTTCTTTGCTGCTTGCTGCACCACAAGAGCTGTATTTTCTCTTTTCATGCTGTGCAGTTTGGACTAAAATGTGTGATCAGGTAATGAATTCCTTTGATTTTAGTAAATGAAATGAATGAGCAACTGTATCTGAACAGTACAGTTAGCCTATTCAAAATGATCATTCTGAATATGTATTTTTCGTACATGTTTTTAGTTACTTCCCAACACTGAATATAGTTGTGCCGTCATACACAATGTTCAGTATTACACTCAGAAATGTTAATACAGGGTTTGGAAGTTAACCCTCCAGATCAGAAAACTATTTAGATTTTTTTTTTCTAACTCAAGTCTCAAGGGGTCAGCAAAGGAACACTGTGATTCATAAGGGCTTTGTTCCTCAATGTATAGAGCATTTACCCCAGAATTAGTTAAGTGTCAGTTGTAATCCAGGTGTGGACATGATTGCGAGATAGGGCTAACATTAGCGGTAACAGTGGTAAGAAAACTGACATACTACTATAGGTACCAAACAAGAATTTTATATTTACTTTCTGTTTTAAAAGTGACAGTATTTGATCTCTGACTTAGATCCTGGTTGTTTTTCGTATGTTTACATGAATTTGCTAACACGTGCTTATACTAAACCTAGCGTAGTTTTCTTTTAGTGTTGTGGTTTGACTGAAGCTTCTAATGTCCTCATTCCTCCAGGCAAACCAATAAAGTTTTTTCCAAACAGAGGTGGGTGGACAAAAAAAAGAGTAACATTATACTTTAAAATAATATTACTTTAGGAAATTGGCCTAGTAAAAAAGTATTTGGTGAATCTACTCCTCAAGAGTAACTGTCTGGACATAAAATCCGATTTATAATTTGAAGTTAATGTAATGCGAAGGACAAAACTTTAAATAATAAACAGGCCAGTATACAAAGGTCATGCATAAAAAACTAAATAAGATCTGAAGGAAGTGATGCAACAAGTACAAATGTACAACTGATTTAAATAAAGTTTTTTTCACTTGTGGACTTGCTGGTAAGAGTAAGCAACACTATCAAATATAAAACGCAAGTAGAAGTAAAAGTATGGTGTCTGAAAATTACCACAAGAACAACAATATTAGTAGAAATGAAGTATTTCAAGTCTTTCCCACCTCTGTTTTCCAATAAGCTGATCGCCATGGAGACATACTGCATATTATGGGGTCTGGAGGGTTAACATTGTACTGATTGTATATAGACTTTCTCTGAAGATTATGTAAAGTTGTGAGAATTGTACAATTTTGTGTGTTTTGAGGCGATATGAAACTCTTTCCATTTGACTGAATAGAGGAGGTAACATTTTAGATTTCAAAATGGTTGTCATGATGATATTTAAAGTGGAACTAAACACAAAATCTACTTTTTTTTTGCTACTTAGTGCTGTATATGGTGTGTAAATAGTACTGATCTTAGTCATTAGTCACAACCACATGGCTACGGGGCGAAGTTTTAAGTGTGGTTACCTGTTTGACCAATCACGCCATTCTAGTACCCACTGACCCCGCCCCCTCTCGTGAAATGTGGTTGTGTTTAGTCCCACTTTAAATCTGTGACAACTTTCTGTAGGCTGGTTGGTTGAAATGTTCCCCATTGTCATATTTGGTAGAGACGATCTGCCCAACATTTGCACATAGGAAGTTTTTGACACAGCAGTTTTACTAAGACAGAACCAAGAGTTGTATTCAAAAGTGCTCAAAAAAGTGTGTTTTGAGAGTAAAAATACAAGTTATCTTGTCCTTTCATTTGTCCAAATCTCATTCCTCTTAAGTGCCTTCTTCACTGGATTAAAAAACAACAACTATTTGCTCCTATTTTTTCCCATACGTTTAAAAATTACATTCATTTAAAACCAACAAGTTTGGCGTTTGAGAGGAATGACGTCACCGCAAGCTTCCACTTCCCTTCTTTACATATCTGCAAACTTGTAAATAATTGTTTTTCATAGATTTGACTATGTAGACATATTGAAGTCGTATAGAGGTTTATTAGTGCCTAAATATAGTGGGGAATATTTTTGGTAAAGACACATTAGACACTATTAGGCATTACGTGTGCACCCAAAGCAGGTATACAGTAAATCTGGTTTATTCTTGTGGAAAGACAAACTATTATATATAAAAAAAAAATAGGTTGTGTTCATGTTGTCGAATTTGCTTATCTTCTTACATTCTACAATTTCAGATGGTGGGCAAAGATCAATATAACTCTATGGAAGATTTACTGTTTTTGGAAAAAATATCCAAAATAGAAATCAACAAATGTTTGGGATTGGGTCCACATCCTTGTCTTCAAGTGCTGACAACAATCACGTTTTTGGAGAGAAATAATGGCACCACTTTCTGAGGCCATTGTGAAAAAAAAAAAAAAATCACTTTTCTTTATTTATACTGACAGAGGAGATACTGAACTTTGTGCCAGTCGTTGTTTCATTTGGATTAGTGCAGTAATTACAGATATATTTACCATAAATCAAGCTGTAATCTGACAAAAACAGCAAATTTTACCATAGAGTTCTAACCTGCCCTCCAGCTCAATGTTAAACTATAGTCTAATTCTATTCTCGAATTGTACGATGTCACGTGAACCCAACCTATTGTAGAGTTTTCATAAATCAGAACTGATGCTTGGTGGTTCTTCTCATTCACATAGTCTTGTATGTAATTGGATAAAACGTAACAGACCGAGGTGATGGATTAGTCGACTTTACAGTTTAAATATTAACAAAAGGAGAGATAGATAGTTTCCAGTGTTGCTCTGAGATGAGTACACAGCTGAGATATCCACCAATGCTGTTTTTTTTATGAGATTTTCTGAACCAAACTCACTCACAGTAGAATGTCTGTTTAGGGCCTGCTGGGTTGTTGTTTTTTATTGTTAATTCTTGAATCATTCTCTTTGTGATTAATAAAATTCACTTCTAATATTAAAACATCTCTTGTTTGTCTCTTTATGTTAAAATTATATTGTATTGTGTAATTATTTTTTTGAAGGGGAGCATCATGGAACAGGCAACTAGGACTAAGCCTATCTGTGCCAGCTCAGATCAAAATGGCTTAATAACACTCCAAAAGAACTATAAAATTTTTTGGACAAATTATAAAAATGTTATCTTATCCCTCATGTTCTCAATTTCATGTTACAAAGATATGCTCCAGCCAAAAGAATGCTGCCAGTTCAAAGTAAAGCCCCACTACGTAACTTTTTAGCGAACAAATACACAATAAAAGCATGTTGTTGTTTTTTTTCTTACTTTTATCATTTTGGATATTTTTTGCTCTGAAAAAAATAAAAATCATGGTTGCATTTCCACAAACCTGACTCTACTTGGCCTGCATGTAGGAGCGACCCACCAACTTGTGTCCACGGAAATGTTTCTTTGGCTATAATATTGCAGAAAGTAAGAATAAGAATGTTCAGAAGCAAGGTTTTAATGTTTTATTTCCATTTCCATCATGCAGGTCACATGGAACCTCTAGAAAGTTACAAGGAGTTGCTGTAATTTGTCAGTTTCAATTCGTCAATTCGTATTTTTTTACACTTTTTTGCTGTTGTATCTTTTATGATCCTCTTTGTCAAATCTTTCAAAAACTAGTGTCCTGCTGATCTTTAAAATCCCTTTTTGTATTATAGTCCATCAAATTACCCACTGGCAGCATCTTTGCTCATCTCTAGGCATAATCTATTACAGGAGGTTGGGCCATTTCAAGGCACAAAACTGCTTTCTTGTTGCGTTGTGGTCTCTGTGCCAACTGGCAGCGGCCTCCTGGATAAAGAGCCTTATAATCAGGCAGCGCTGCAGGAGGATTTATAGTGGTTTGCAGCAGTGCCACCGAACACTTTTATTGAATTATTAGAAAAATCAATTAAACCATGGGGCATGATTCCGCTGAAGCCAAAGAGAGACGTGTGTTTTTTTCTAATTAGGGGGATTGCATATCGGGGAAACGGTCTCAGATTATTATGAGGGAAATGTTTGTAATTTAACACTCATTAAATTTACCGTCACAGCACAAGGTTTAAATGGCTGACTCATTATAGCTGCTGCTGCTGCCCTTTTAAGCCTGCATTGTGTTACACGCCTGTCTGTCTGTGAGAAGCACATGAAGGAAGTTAAAGAAGGTGAAACACTCAGGTAATGAAACCACTTTATAATAATTACACTTTAATAAAGCATGAACATAAACTTAATGATTCAGTAATGAGCAGTTTGTTCCTGTTTTTTTTTAAGGGTAATTAAGGTGTAGATCGTTAAGTGCTTCTCAAACGAATGTCTGGGTGGTCATCTAAACAACTGACTGGACTCACAGCACAGATGAAGTGTACAGGAAGGGCCAGAGCAGCCCTACCTCCTGTGGAGAATGAAGGGGCCACACCTGAGGACCTCCCATGACTCTGGGGTGTCAGATTTGTGGTGTGGTCTGGAGCAGCAGCATCACAGAGAGGGAGAGGAAGAAGCTGGAAGAAGAAGTCCAGCACTGTCCTGGACTGTTCTCTGACTCAGTGCAGGAGGTGGGAAACAGGAGGGTCCTGGGATCCTTTGGACTCATCTACGGTGGAGAATGAATGCCGCTCTCTGGAGGATACCTTGTCTGCTCTGAAGAGCAGCCTCAGTGACAGACTGATCCACTTGCTGTGTGAAGGAAAGGTTCTGCTGCTTTATTCCTGATGCTGTCAGACTGTACAGTGAACACGGCTAACACTGCCAGCCCTGTACATGTGTCATTCACCTGATGTAATCACATAATACTGTACCAGTGTGAATCCTCACTGGTACAATTCACTGAAATCACTTTAACGTTCTTTATTCTGTCCATGCTGCACTGTAGTCTTTATGTTTATTTTAAAGTAATTTAATTTATCTTGATTCTATGTGCTGATTCTCCCGGTGCTCCTGTTGTGGTACATATAAAGGTTCATTTTATCACATTTTTATTTTTGTATTGGGATTTGTGGCACTATTATGGAGCACATGATGAGTCTTGTCATCTGCGACACAAGTCCATCTCCAAACAGAAGCTTGTCTGAGCCTGCCTAAAGTGACGAGTAGTAAAACAGATGGGTGACAATCTTATTGGACAGACGGATGAAGCCTGTTTAGAAAATATCACAGAACTGTGAGATGAACTGACAGTCACAGGCACAGCTGCTTTGTGTGACATTCTCATCACGTGGTTATAAGGCCATTAGGACAATAGGACAATCCCAACATCTCGTCTTTAGAGAGGATTAAAAAAACAAAAAACAAAACAATCATAAACTTTTCTTATCGCAATCAGAGACAGAGATGCCCCAGATAAATCTACATGCATTTGAAATCATCTAAAAACCAGTCTAAAACAAAAGGATTTTGAGTGAACTATTTTAAAATGCTTCATAATGAGATAGCCCCAAGAGGAATTAGGAGATTAAACTGAAGAAACAATAAGAATGAAAACACATAAATAAACAAACAAACGAAGAAATAGATACCTTGCTTTAAATCCATATGCTGCAGTGGTTACGCAGTTCCCTCTTGTGGTCAAAAACTGAAATCACATGACAACGTTTAAGAACTTCATTTTTAATATTATAATTTAGACAGGCCCCAAAGAACATAAAATTATATTAAAGAGATGCAATTTGATAAATGTGGATACCATATGCCTTTCTGTAAATAAGTGGGTCCAAGAGGTGCAGAAAACTTAGGTTACAAGCACAGGCCTATATATTAGACATATTGTAAATTGAACAAAATATAACAGCTTGTGTAGTTAACATTTACCCTTTAGTTTTAAGAAATGCAGGAAAAATGTTCTTGAAGTAGGATGGAGATCATGCTTTTGATTCACATGACTTCTCACGCATGCGCAGTCACCTTGCTCAACATAGTCTGGGAAGCTGTGTGCACCGCGATCATCAGACTCTATTTGGGAAGATTTATTTTTGTAAACTGTGCATTTTCAAGAGGAGAATACTTACATAAGGTCTGACTGAGTTGTCGCTATGAGTTTCTTTGGTTTTGGTCAGAGTGCGGACATCGACATAGTTCTGAATGACGCCGAAACCAGAAAGAAAGCTGAGCACAAGACCGAAGACGGCAGGAAGGACAAATATTTTCTCTTTTACGACGGCGAAACTGTGTCCGGCAAAGTCAACGTGAACCTCAAATACCCGGGCAAAAGACTGGAACACAATGGCATCAAGATAGAGTTTGTCGGGCAGATTGGTAAGCGACACGGGCCTGCATTTCCACACTAGCCGCTTGCTGTGCACTTAGCCCCCGCCAAGAGGAACCCCGAGCACCGCCAAACTCCGACGCATTGCAAAAGAGGAACTAAATATATTTTATCTAACTGCACACTATTGCGTTCACAGCAGCTTTACCTTAATAGCGTCTTTATATGTACTTTGGGATACTTGTAGTGAATGCTTTGATGGTAACAAGTGTCAGTAGGAAGTGTCAGATCCCGTGACAAACCTGGTGCACGCTGGGACATCAGCTGACAGAAGAACCATTCAGACTATAACACATGTTTACACCGTAGACTGCGTAAACAAAATTATGTATACAGTTTATGGTTGTTACTACTGAACTCACATATTTCCCACAGCGCCAATATCAAGGGTCTGCGGAACTTTTGTCTGCCTGTGCACCATATGGACTCCTGTGCGCTTTAAGCCATGCTGCTGTTGCCTCGTCAAAAACAGACTTGGAGTTGTGTTTTCTGTTTGAGAGAAGAACTCATCCTAAGTAGGCAGAGTTGGTATGGCAAATATCTTTGAATGAAACAAAACACAACTCCGGGTATGTTTTAGATGATGAAATAGCATCATAACATAGATCAGAACACTGCACAATATGGGCCCTTTAATGTTTACTCAGCAAAAGTGATTTCCATATTTAATTTTTCATTTCTCACTGCTCCTGCTTTTTCATTGTGAGAGTGTAATATAGTGTTTCCCATATAATATAATATATTTATAATAATTTAAAAACAGCTTTATGTCAGGTTTAACTGTAGGATTGCATGTGTGATCCACAGCCATTATTTATTCAGTAGTCACAGTTTTCGGAAAGAGTAGTGTACATATACATACCATACATACCTTTAATCACATGAAGTTCATAGTGAAGACTTACCGTGACCTAAAGCTTTGAATGTGTTTTATTGTGTGTTGCAGAGCTGTACTACGACAGAGGAAACCATCATGAGTTTGTGTCTCTTGTGAAAGACTTGGCTCGTCCTGGAGAGCTCACCCAGTCTCAGTCTTTTGAGTTTGAGTTCACACATGTGGAGAAGCCCTATGAGTCCTACACTGGACAGAATGTGAAACTACGGTAGGTAGGGCTGGCCGATATGAAAGATGAATCACAATTATTTTCTGTTTTGTCATATGGATAAAAATGCCTTTATGTATTACTTTCTTGAGCATAAACAATACATGTTAACAATCTAAAGTTTGATTAATTGCACTGCCTAACAGTAGGTAATTGATTATATTCATTAAGTGCATGTGGTAGGTTTTCAAGTTATTACTTGATTTATTACTTGAATAGTACCTGTGATAAATGTAAATAGTTTTATGTATACGTAGTTTTAGTCAAGTAGCGGTTTGTGGAAAAAAAGTTGAAAAAAGAAAGTGCAAGATAAGTCATATACACTTGTAAAGCCCAAATGCAGTATCAACATTAAATGTATTGACAGGAGTTCAATATTGGTCAGTTATTTAATGCATAGTAAATAACAGGAAATAATTTTCTATATGCTTCTCTCCATAGGTATTTTCTGAGGGCGACCGTGAGCCGGAGACTCAATGACATTAGCAAAGAACTGGACATTGTCGTTCACACACTCAGCACTTATCCTGAACTCAATTCCTCTATCAAGATGGAAGTAGGAATCGAAGACTGCTTGCATATAGAGTTTGAGTACAACAAATCCAAGTATGGTTTAATTTCACCTTTATCCATGCATTTAAAAGTACGGTATGTAGCCTGTGCTCTTACTGAACTCAATGTTTTCAGTGTCTTAACATGCGTGTAGAGGACACAGTTTTTCTCATTCTCAGTATATCGACAGGCCAAAGCTCAGAATCTTCAGAATTCACTCACTGAGCTGTAGAGGCTGCACTAGCACTGATTAAGGATTGACTGAAGGTGTTGGAGTTTTGGTAGTAAGGATTAGAATCAGAGAGAGGCATTTTGGGTTTAAATAAACTGGGTTAAGTCATAGGAACCAACAACCCAAATGAGAGACTCGTGTGAGACTCATTGTGCTTTCTCACTGGATAATCGTCTGAGAACCAAAACACAGAATAATACCATAAACAACATCAGTATCACTACTGTTTTTGCCAGGTAAAGCTATTGTTGATTTAAACATTTACCCCGTGTCTGGATAAAAAAATAATATTTGTGAAATTTACAATGAGAACTCTACATACCGCACTTTTTAAACTGTATTTTGTATTTGTGATACTGATGAATCCTGTTGTTCTTTTGCAGGTATCACTTAAAAGATGTGATAGTAGGAAAGATTTATTTTCTGCTGGTTAGAATTAAGATTAAGCACATGGAAATAGACATCATTAAACGGGAAACTACTGGCACGGGTCCAAATGTCTACCACGAGAACGACACTATCGCCAAATATGAAATAATGGACGGAGCACCTGTCAGAGGTAAGAATAAAGGAGCCTTTTAGACTCTGCAGACTGCTGCTATAGGGTATTTATCATTGTTTAGCAGCAAACCAGGCTACATGTTGGACATACCATTTATTCTTAAGTAAAGGTTCCAAATTTTAAAACTCATTGCTCTATAGTAATGCAAAAATGTTTTCCCAAAATTTGTTTTTTGCTACGGACTTCTCACCATGGAAACATTGTTTTGCCTGGAAAGTTCAACTGTATGGCAGTAAATGTGTCTGTATTGCATTAATTTAACTAAAAACATCCATTCTCACTGTGAATGGGATTGCCTCTCCACAGATCTTACCTGTAGCTTGGAGCTGATTTCATCAACTTGTCTCCACACAGATAGATAGGTTTATTGCCATATTATTGAACATTTTTGGCAGAGCAGCATCTCTGTGGGGACAAGAAGATGGCAGACCCTGCACCTGAAAAGTTACATAGTGCACCTTTTAATATTTGTGCTATAAATAGAAGAGTATTTTCTAGTATTTTCTTTTTTCTAATAAAATGTTTTTTGTCGTCCTCCAGGAGAGTCCATCCCCATCAGATTGTTCCTGGCAGGGTACGAGCTGACTCCCACCATGAGGGACATAAACAAGAAATTCTCTGTGCGCTACTACCTCAACCTGGTCCTTATAGATGAGGAGGAGAGGCGCTACTTTAAACAACAGGTATTGTGATATTGATATTGTGCTTTTTCAGGTAGTTAGTATTAATCCATAACATATTTTACTTTTAATATTTCTATTACTCTATGATTTAACACTACCTAAATGTAGAAATTGGTCTTTTGTCACTGTAGCAAGCAGTACATTTTCATTTACTTAGTTTATTGTTGAAACAAACCTATGTAACTTTTTTTATAATTAAAAGTAAGTACAGAGATGCAGGCAGGAATAGGGTCTAGGTGAAAACCGTAGACTGTATATATAAGTGGACGTAACAAATCCTCTAGGTTTCACGTCGCAAATAGGAAGTGTGCATGGTGGTGCTTCCGGCTCCGTAGACTCTGTGTCCAATTGACTTTACACTGAAAAATTGTCACCTCTTTCTATATCTATATGCTGCTGTGAGGCTTATCATTTTAGTCTTAAAATGTTCATATTAACCATTTCTACATTATTCTGGTGTTTTATTTTGCTTTTTGGCTGTAAATGAATTCATATTCCGTCAATTTGCCCCATAGCTGCAAGCATTGTGAGCTTCATGTGACCGGAGCTGAATGTTATGAGTGACATCACTCTTAGTCTACTTCTTATAGTCTACTTCTTTATACAGTCTATGGTGAACAGATATTTCAGCGCTCTCAGGCTTCATATGCAGAACATTACTCAAACATGCAGTAAAATACAATTTTGAGTAAGCTAAGTAAACTATTGGAACATGGATAAAAGCTCATAAAGGTTTATGTCCTCTTAAATGAATATATCTGGTTGTCAACTTCATCTGAAATGCCTGTTTGTCTTTGCAGGAGATTACTCTGTGGAGAAAAGGGGACATTGTCAGAAAGAGCATGTCCCATCAAGCAGCAATCGCCTCCCAGAGATTTGAAGGATCGTCCAATCCAGAGAAGTCTCCCACACAAGACAGTGAAGAGAACAGCTAAACACCGCTCCATCCACCCGTGTGTGTCTGTGTCTGTGTGTTAGCATGTGTGTATGAGTGACTGACTGCCTACTGAATGTAAGGATGTGTGCATGTTGGAAATGCAGCAGAATTTGAGGTGAAACACACTGTCTATGTGTGTCAGGGAACAAAATATATTATCCCACTGAGTTTGTCAGACTGATCTCAACAGGCACAATTACAGTAACTTTTATGTAGGCCTGTCACGGTAACTGTGATTATATATTGCTTTGGAAACTATAGATATAGATATAGATATATATATAGATTATATTGAAACTATCCTATCCTATGCCACTGACACAATAACCCTAAAGCAGGATTAAATAATATTGAAAAACATGGGCTGCAATAAATAAATGAGGCACTCTAGTAGTTATATCTATAATGAGTCAGAGAAGCTATATATATATTCAACTCTCTATAACTAAGTCTTATTGTAGTACTGAAAAAAAAAGAAAAAAAAAGTCCCATGAGTACAAAGAAAAGGTTCCCATAGTATTATCATGACAGGCCTACAGTCATGTTTCAGAATTTCTTCCAGAGGTCATTACATTAAACTAACTACTTTTTTAATGTCATAATGCAATTATGTAATGATTAAATAGTTTAGGGTCCATTTTTACATGTTATTTTGACTCAAGTGTAGCTCTGTGCATTAACTGTATCAGATACAGTTTGCCTTAGGGTGAAATGGATCATAGATTACTTAAAATTCACTGCCATGCACTTGCTAACAAACATGTCTTTCTAGTTTCACAGCTTTGAATTCTTTAAAGGTGCACTGTAACTTTTATGGAAGAGTGCCCGCCACCTGCTTGATTCCATGTAAATGTTAATGTGTTTCCTGAAATGTTCTACAGTATGGCATTTAATTTAATTTTCATTGAGACAAGCAGGCTGCATCGCCAAAGGAGTTACATGTCCCTAGTGGGCCCTAGTTTTGAGAAATAAAAACTCCGATAATTGAATAAATGCAGGATATATTTGTTCAGTGCCATATTGTGGAATATCCCAAGCAAAGCAATAACATCTCCATGGAGAAGAGCAGATGGGGAACCCTCCACCAGAAAAGTTACATAGTGCACCAGTGCAAGCAAAAGGACAAAAATATTTTTCATACATTCCAGTGCGTTTTCCAAGTACTAGCTTTTAACAGAATCCACTTAAACAGCTGTGGTGCGTTGGATAGTAGACGTTAGAGGATAATGGATTTCTTAACACAGGAGGCTGCTGCTGTTGCTGCTGCTGCTGCTGCTGCTAAAAAGAAAGTGGCACTTGTGAATGCTGTGAGATTCGTGATAGCTTCCAAGCACACTTATTTGCACTATACTCCATTTTAGCCCTCCTCTACCTGCTCTGTGCAACACCTATGACAAATCTGTCCTGTACTTACAGTATTACATATACTTTATGTAACTTAAGCCCACACATGCTGATCAATGGACTGCTGGTTGCACTTCCACTGACTGTAGTAGGATCAGTAGCATTGTGCCTAAAAGGGTTTCTTGCCAAAATATTCAGTGCTATAAACAGACGTCGCCAGTTTAGCCTTTAGCTCTAATCTTAGCTTGTGAGCCTTTTAGAACTGTTAAAAAAAGTAACTTCTCCATGGTAACACTTAATAACTACATCTTAATTTGCATTAATAAAGCATGAATAAAGACTTGATTCATAAGGAAAACCTCTTAATTAAGTAGTTACTAAGACTAAATCATTCTTAAAGGGCCCATATTACGCAATTTTCTGATTTATGTTGTTTCATTGTCAAAAACATAGCCAGAGTTGTGTTTAGGTTCATTCACACATGTTAAATACACAAACCCTGAATATTCAGGCAGAGTTCTTCTCTCAAACTGTAAACACTGTTCCACACTGTGATCGTCATGTGGTAATAAAGGAAGTGCTCCACTGTGTTTGTCTGAAGTCTGAAGACCTTCACTAGAACCATTTGGATCATTTTAGACCAGGGATTGCCAATCTCTACTGAATAAAAGGTAAAAAAGTTGCTGTTATCTTGAAAACTGCAGCTTCATGACATCACGAGGTGGAACAGAGCATTTTGAGCTTTGAAGCTTTGTGTAGGCAGCCTAATAATAAAGGATTACCTAAACGTGTGAATGAAACAAAACACAGCTCTGGGTATGTTTTTGAGGAGGTAACAGCACGACATAGCGCTCACAAGAATTAATTTTGTGTAATATTGGACGTTCCGTATGTATTTTTTCATTTTAATTAAGGTGTAGTTATTGTAAAGTGATACCGAATGTACTGTATAACTGAAGCAGCAACTTCAGACAACATATAAACACCACTGCTTTCTCTCTTCTCACTTAAATAATTTCAAAATTTTGAATGCACTTAAAACTTACCCCACCTTTCTGGCTTGATTTTAAAGCACCCATTGCCTAAGTTTGCGACCCTTTTGTGGAAAGGCTTATGATGTGCGAAAGTAAAAAAGTAAATCACTGTGTAAGACATTTTGTATTTTATAATTTTGCTATTTCTTCATTTGGGTAACTGCTGTTTCGATGACTGCAAGTCTCTTTAACACACCAGCTCTGTGACCATTTAGAAAAACTGTTTTACTTTCAGTTGATCCAGAAAAGAGAATTGAATTTGGAAACCTCCCTCCATCAAGTCGACAAGTTCATTTGCAGTAACATTAACATACAAGATTGCTTCCTTATTTTAGCAGTTAATGCACTAATACAATCCCATTAATGAAATCCACAAAATGTTCTCTGCTCCTTTACGTGGCTATGCTGTTCATTTTGTCAATAGTGGTACAGATATAGTAGCTAAACTAATTGACTTTGTATTAAAACATCTAACAGATTTTATGTGTACAGTAAATGCACAATGTAAATTCAAGCCTTTTGTTTGTGTCCATGTTTATTATCTCTATAAATGTTGAATCATTTTATATTCTGTTTTATTTTGAATTAAAAGGGAGTTAACCAGTGAGCTACACCGCCTACTCTGTTTCTGTTATTGGTATCTGAATGAAAAACTAAAAATTAAAGAGTTTTTCTGGTCATCCTCTTTCCAGTCATTTCATTTCCTTTAATCAGTTGTAGAAAGTGAAACAGATTAAAGGGGATAATACTCCCTACAACTGTACAACAACTCACCCTTATGTAACAGATAATACTCCGTACAACAATATTAGGCTATCTTCTGATCTATGTTATGTTTCTTCATCACAAACATACCAGAAGTTGTGTTTTGCTTCTTCCACAGATGTTTATCACACAAATCTTGCATATTTAGGTTTTGTGCTCTCAAACTAAAAACACTCCACCTTGTTCCACTTTGTGATGTCATGTGGTAATACAGGAAGTGTTTTTAAACTCCATACACCTTCACTAGAATTTTGATAATTTCAGCCCTGGAATTGCCAATCTCATTTGAACAAAGGGTAAAAGGTAGCTGTTAAAACTACCACTACATGACATCAGAAGGTGGACACAACTCCAGGTATGTTTTTCGAGGAGATAACACCATTATATCATGGCTTAAAGCTCAGATGAGTCAATTTTGTGTAATAAGACCATTAAAGAATTTGTAGGCATCTGTATTTTTTGCTCCTATATCTGTACTTCTACTTCTTCCAACACCGCTTTAGTCATAACTGCTTGCAAAAACAAGGATGCATGCATTTAATGTCTGTGTAATCCCTTAGTCGCCCATGTGTGTTACAAAAAAAGCTATATGCCTTTAATGTCCACTTGGGGGCGCATACAGCCTAAATGAAATACAAAGGAGAACGTGAACTGCTTGTACTCCAGTAAGCTTTTTGGATTTTAATGTGTTAAAAAACTAAAAGTTAATTGCCAATATGAAGGATTTTCTTTTTTCTTCTTCTTCTTCATCTTCTTCTTGACATCCTTTGCTCTTTAACCTCCATATATAAGGTGAAAACCTAGAAATTATGATAAGTTATTGAGTGTGATGAGGCACGGAAGAACACAGCCTCAAATTTAAACTCATAGATAATAACTGCAACAACTTCATACGATATTTAGTTTTTGTATCAACCACAACAACAATAACTGCAAAAAAAAAATCGTAATGTCTGTAGACCAAAATGGAAAAAAGTAAATAAATAATTCTCACTTTTAAAATTCCTGTGTCAATGAAAAAGTGGGACATTCTGTAAATAAATGGAGCAAGGGGCAGGGGGCTGATAGTGCAGGTTAGCCAAAAGAGGGACAGCTGGACACTCTCCCTACAGTGATAGAAAACTATAGTACAATGCTACACCCTGAGGCAAATAGGCTCTTATGAAGTGTATAAAAGCAAACACTGCAGTTTCAAATATTTTACCATGACACTGGAATGATCCTCATGTGGTATTTTGGCGTGGAGATGGCCACAATATAATTACATTGGCTTTTTGCAACAGATAAAGGTCCTTTATTACGCAAAAATGACTGCTGAGCCATGTTAGAAAACTTATTTGGAGTTGTTTTATTTCAGTCACACATGTTTGTCACACATGTTTATCATAAGTCTGTCTACATTTCCAAAATCCTCTGTTCCACCTTGTGATTTCATGAAGCAGTAAGTAAACAGCTACTATTTACCTTTTGTTCAGTAAAGCTTGGATATTCCAGGACTGAAATGATTCAAATGATTTTAGGGAAGGTGTGTGGAATTTAAAAACACAGTGGAGCACTTTCTGTACATGACATCACAAGGTGGAACAGAGTGTTTTATGTTTGAGAGAAGGACTTTTGTGTGTTAAACATGAGCGAATGAAACAAAACCCAACTCCGGGTGTATTTGTGATGAAGAAACAACATTATAACAGATCAGAATATAGCATATTATGGGCCCTTAAAGACTGGATGATAACTGCAGATTCTGAGTGCATTTTTATTGTATTTGTGTTGCTGCTTCTTGAGTTTTAAATCCCAGGACAGCTATGTTCTGTTTGCTGGACTACATACATACATACCCATTTCTTTACAGGCCTATATGCAGATGTCACTGACCCTTCAGCATAAACACTGACCCTTCATCATAAACATTTAAACATATAATGAACATGGAAATACACCCCCATGTGGTGTATGGCATCTCAGGCATTTTGCATTAATTTAAACTATAAAGCCAGAGTTTTTCTGCAGGCGTGAGCGAGCACATGGACTAAACACTGCCAGAGACAGTAGAGTGACCTTTACAGCATCAAGTACGAAGTGCAGGGGAGAAGCGCCCACATCTCCACTGAGAATAAATTGAGGCCAAAAGGACACATTATAGCTGAATTGGTCCTTTGCAAAAAAGATTTCTGATCGAGGAAAATTTTACTCCTTGGTCCAATGCAATCTGCACTTAATAGTCCTACTTAAAGGAACCCATTATCTCCATATCGTCTCAAATCTCCTCATTGGCAATAGTTTTAGGCTCAAAGACAATGCGGACCCACATGCTATCTGTTTAAACCAAAATGATTTGATAAAGTAAAAAACTTGAAACGGCAAAATGGAAGGAAGTCACAAATGCAACTTTATAAAGCTATTATTTCTATATTTAGGCCCATAACATTATTCTTTTTTGCCTTTAGGCCAGCATAGAATTTTGACTGTATTAAATATGGCGTGAAAGCAGTTGTTAGTTATTACGTCTTTTTTAAAAACTGTGTTAAACTTTATTATTATAATGATTGTATCACTGTCTCTAGGCTATAATAAATAAATAAATAAATAAATAAATAAATAAATAAATACCATACCATACTCCATGAGATTTACAACAACTCACCTTTCTGTAACAGATAATACTCCCTACAACTGTACAACAACTCACCCTTATTTAACAGATAATACTCCCTACAACTGTACAACAACTCACCCTTATGTAACAGATAATACTCCCTACAACTGTACAACAATATTAGGCTATCTTTCTATGACTCTCTTATGTATAGCTGAGATTTTCTATTTTATTACTTAATTTTCTATTTTATTTTGACTTGAACATTTACATTTTAAAAAAACATACCTTATTTGACACCTGTCTCTTGCCATTTTTGCATTTATATTTTTTACTCTTTGTTATTATATTATATTTTGATGAGTGAGCTACTGTATCCAAAAAAATTCCCTTGCGGATCAATAAAGCTCGTCTAAGTCTAAATAAGTACATAAATAAGTACATAAATAAGCAAAATAGCCCCCCTTATAATTATGACACTTTACTCTGTGTTCTCAATATTAGTTTTACTTTTTCTTACTTGTATCTGCCCTCTTCCCTGGAGCTATCCTTGCCCCTTTATTATTTTAATTACTGTATCGTTGTTTCTATAATAAATAAATAAATAAATAAAATAAATATATAGACAGACCCAATTAGTCTGTGTTCTGAATATTACTTTTACTTTTCCTTGATTTTATTTGCCCTGTTTTTCGTCGCTGCCCTTGCCCCACTTTTCGGACATGTCGAGGTTTCCGAGCGTCCGTGAAGGCGTCAGAGAGACAGCAGAGCCGCTCGTGCTCCAGCTTCAGTCAAACCGCGGACACGAGACGAGCTCCATGTGGGAAGTTTACCGCGGATTTACAAACACGGGAATAAGGCGAAAACGAACCATTCCCTCACTATTTATCACGAAGAGTGCGGACAGTTTAGCGACCATGACGGGATGTTTATTTTTCTCTCACGGAGCGGTTAATTGAGCACTCCCTTCTCCCCTTGCGCCTCGTTTTTTCCCGGGGGAGCTCTTTCTTTTTGTTGTTTGGGGTAACGCGAAATGTAAGTGAAATAGCGTGGTGGTTTTTTTGCGTGAACGTGCGTGAAAATACGTGCAATAGTTTGTCATTGACTGGCTGGGATAGCGGCAGTGTAGGCTGGGATGAGCAGACGGTTTAATAGTGGAGAAGCGCCAGACGGAGACAGCGAAAGCTAGACTTATCCCACCACCAGCAGCGGCAGTCAGCGGCGGGACACGACCACCCCCCTGCCCCAGAGCAAACCTGCGGGGTAAGTAACGCAACACAAACTTTCTATCCACTATGTAAACCATTACTGTTGTGAGTAGTGTCTGATTACTCAAATGTGCAGGGCAACAGCTGGTGGTTTGTGGCCAGACAGTGAAATGTGCTCGTATTGTGTGTGTGTGTGTGTGTGTGTGTGCGTGTGCGTGTGTGTATTTGTGCGCAATTGAGGGGTATTGGCTTAAGAGGGACTAATGCGTCCTCTTTCAGGCATTATCAGACTGTTCACATATGGACCACACTGTGCTACTTTGCTCTGGACATTAGAAGCAAGTGTCTCTCAAATTAAACTGTAATCACTGACCTATAGTGTGTTTCAATGACGATATCTAAAATTTTCCATATTCTGATTATGTGTCTTCACCACAAACATACTGTGATGTGTGTGTGTGTTTTGTTTCATTCACATATGTTTAACACACAAACACTGCATATTTACGCTATAACAGAAAATGATGTCATGTGGTAATATAGAAGCGCTCCTTGTGTTTGTTTGTTTCACTAAAATCATTTGGATAATCACCCTTGCCAATCTCTACTGAGCAAAAGTTAAATTGTAGCTGTTAACTTGACAGCTATCTAGGGTGAACAGACATCCCTGTTTACCTGGGACAGTCCCATTTTTGAGTCCGGTGTCCCCTGTCCCAGTAGATTTATCCAAAACCATTGATTTGTCCCAGTTTTATACAAAAAATGTCCCTATTTTTGACCAATTTGATGCCTGCCAACAGTGAAGAGGCATTTTTTTTAGGTAAAACATAAACGCTGCTTAAAAATGACCAAAACACAATTAAAATGTGACTACACTGACTCACGTGTTAGTCATGAATGGGCCGAGCGCAAAACAGTTTTCCTTAATTGCTTACTTGCTTTCACAATTTTATTATAACCAATTACCAATTATTAGCAAATCTGGTCACTCTAAAACTATCACTACATGACATCACAAGGTGGAACAGAGCATTGTCAGCTTTGGAGATGTAGACAGACTAATAATAAAGGGTTACTCAAATGTGTGTGAATGAAACAAAACAGACCTGTG